GTTGCTCTCGTCCAATGAAATCGCTGCATTATGTAAGCCAAGCTCCGCATATGAATATATGTAATTCAATTATGCATACTGACTTGAAAAATGCATCGATTTCATTGGACGAGAGCAACTGTTGGCGACGTTTGAGTACAAGTGGCAGCATTTGATCGAAAACCTGGTTTCAGCCCCCCCCCCTGTGACTTATAAAAGTTTCAAAAGCTTGTCAATCCCAACTTTGAGAATAAATACAGTTTATTTGGACGATTGACTAAATATTTATTAAAATTTGTTTTTGTATTAAAAGGTTAATTATTTAAAATTAGCAAATTTGACGGTTTTGGTTAATAAATTAATTTAAAATTAAATTACGATGTCAACCATTCCCAGCTCGTAACAGCCCAACAATAATGCTTCAATCGCAGTAATGTTACAATTTCGGGGCGCGGCGCGTTGTATCACGTGGTGACCCCCACTGTCGCTTTACTATAGTCGTAGAGTTTCTACGATACAGGGGAGCCGCGCACTCGTGCGCGGCGGGTCATACAACGTATGACAAGCGGCGCGCAGTGGCAATAACAAATAAGCATAGTAACTTGGTGCGCGCGCGTGGCACGGCACAATTAGGAGGACTTCGCCGCTTCGACGCGCCGCGCAAACTAGCATTCTTGCTTTGCACCGAATCGTCGATCGAATCGTCAATCAAATCGTCGATCGTTGCTCTGCTTCGCGCGCAGAGTAACGATCTCAATGGGTTGACACCGTCAATCAAATCTTTTATGAGCGTGTGCAAGGTTAAAGCTTTTTAAGTATACAGTGTAAAATAGTTTTATAACTTGCTTTATTTTGCAAAAAATTGCAAACGTATTTCGACCAAAATTAAACAGAGAATCGTCTAGTCTAAGATAATTTTTGAAATACCTCGACAAAAGCTATCCACGCTACTGTGCTTTTACAAAGAAATAAGACAATAGCGTTTTTGAAGTTGCATGTTTCCCCATGACACCTCAAACGGCTATGAGGACAGTACGAAGAAGAGAGAAGCGAAATCATGTATTTCTAAAACCCATTTGCTCTAACCAGAGCCTTCTCGCCTGCAGTATGCAGTAGCGCGCGACGCGTAGACACATGGGTATGTGAAAAACCCATCACATAGCAAATTGCTTGCCTCTGTTGTCTGATATTTTGTCTGCTATCCGCTTTATGACTTTGGTGCAGCTTGGTACGAAGCCTTCTGTGGTCAAGAAGACAAGCGGTTCAAATGATCCTTTCTCAGTTTCCAAGACCCGATCTTAATAAAGTTTTTTGTCCAACTCGTTTCTTGCACACAGTGCAGGTGACAGGGAGACTGACAGTAACATTTGATGCGGCATGTATGGATGAGACACCCTTACGTCAAAGAAAGTGTGCTAACTGCTATAGTCAGCAGTTAGCTCTAATAGGAGGAAATAATGATTTACGGTATCAAAAGCATCGGTCCAGAAGGATAATGGACTGAATAATGGACTGAATTATAACATAACATAACATAACATTATAAATGATTTTTCTCTGGGCATCTCAAAAAAAGAAATTCACAGAAAATGAACAATTTACGTTTGAAACCATATAATTACAAACTTTAAAAATTAAAAAAAATTCAACTAAATACATACCTTTGATATTAACCTTCTTCCTCTTAGCTACCATTGGATTCTCTTTCATATAAATTACATAACTATTCCTATTAGACACAGACACATCTATCCTATCAAAGATGTCATATGACAGTTCCCAGTAGTGGCCAAGCTTATTTGTCTGATATCCATGAAGCCGAAAGGCAGCTAATCCCCTTTTGAATCCAGTAACCGACTCACTAGCTTTCACAATTGGTGGTAGACTGTTCCAGTAGCGCAAGACCCTTTGGGCAAAGAAGTCAGTCTCATTTGTGGTAAATATGTGTGGCTTTGACCTAGCTGAGACAGTCCTACCAGCACGACCAAATAAATCTGACCAATAATCCACAAAGCCTTCCTGGATCTTGAACATCTCAATGAGATCCCCACGGACCCTACGTTCAAGCAAGTTTGTGAGCTTCAAGTTATTCAGTCTCTCTCTGTAGGTCATGAGGCCCAGTCCATCGATCATACGGGTGAATGATCTTTGAACATCTTCCAATTCAAGGATCAGTGACCAGTTACCATCTTTAAAATTTCCAAAAGGAGGAGGGCAACCTTGCTTTCTTAAACAAGTAAGACCTGAGATCCCTAGGTAAGAAAGAATTACGTCCAAATACGATCTTGATGACATACATTAGGGACGCACAACCTTGCTTTTTTAAGTCACTGAGACAAAGGAGATTATTGTTCAGTTTCACAATTAAGCTATGGTTCGACCTACAATTACTTTAATAGTAAAACAAAGTATTTAAAACAAAGTATTTTATTTATTAGCAGCAGTGGCGCAACGTTGCCTGTTTGCGCCCTCCTGCCGAAAAAAGCGGCCCCCCTGTTGGCGCCCCCTCCTTTTTTGGTGCCCCTCCCTAAAATTGAACAAATTAGGTGATTTTAAAGAATACGCCGGTAAAATCTCTAAAAAAGTGTGTATCTAGAGCAAAACGCGCAGTTTTGCTAGTACTTTAGTTAAGTTTTCGAAATTGTCCCACATTCAAACGACGATTTGGCGCCCCCCTAAGACGGCGCCCCCCTGCACAGCGGGGTCAGCAGGGCCTTTCGTTACGCCACTGATTAGCAGTGCAATCAATTCATATGATATAATTATAAGAATATAATTGTAATGTTCAGCATGGAGATTGTTTCGTCATCTGTTTTTACTAATTGGTCTTAAGTTGTTGAGGCTATTGACATCTCCTTTGTCATCTGCAATAGCTGGCTTTATAAGAGTATTCTTTTGGACGGAAGGTAAATTTTCAGTTACAAGTGAGTCATTGATAATGAATGAACTTTTCCTGGCAAATTTCAGAATTTGGCTGCCAAATCTTTTTAAAGGCCTAACTCAAAATTCCAATACAAAACTTAAGGTCAAATTGCGATTCTACTTTGATTCTGAAAATTTCATGTAAAAATATTAAAACCCTATTGAGTTCTATTGCTGTGAGCGAAATCAGTTTTTCAAATATCGCGAACTGAGATATGGGCGATTTTGTTTATTTTTTGCGATAATTTGGACACAGAATCCACAGTTAGGTAGATACAGAGCTGATAATCATAGAGAATGTGTAGTATAGGCTTACCTTCCATATAAAGTTGGTTTCATTCAAAAATATTGATATTTGACCAATTTATGGGCCAAAATCGATCAAATTTGGCGCGTATGCCGAAATATGGTCATATGGTTTTTGGCTCATAACTCAGTCATTTTTTGTCCAATCTTGATGAAAATTCATATACGAGTTTAGGGGACCACTAGCTACAGGGTGGCCCATAAGTGACTACCCACACGCAACCTCTTAATAACTCACGTAATTCGTCTCCAAATTGCACCAAAATTTCAGAGATTATAGATATGGGTCAAACTTAGATTTCCTGAAAGTTTCGTAAGCCACGCCCAACTACAGTGGGCGTGGCGTTACACTCCCTCTTTTTCACTACTGTCTTCATAAAATGAGAACGCTTTAAGCTAAGAACTCAAAATTTTTTGCACACATTTGGCTTGATAATTGAAAACTTTTCCCAAAGTTTCAAGTTCATTGGTTAAAATATGGCTAAGTTATGACCATTTCAAAACTCATCGGATACGTGATCCGAGCACTCAGTCAGTGATCTCGTCACTTGGTTAATGGCCTGTTTGGCTCACATACACCGCTTGATTGGTTGCAGCCTGCTTATGGGCCGGCCTATACAGCTGACAGCACCTAAAACGCTATCACACGAATTTATGGTTGTGTCACCATTTCTGGGCTTGTTAGCCCTGCTAGTCACAGGTTCCTTACAATCAATAAAAAGGAATGAACCATCCATTGAATCATCGAAAATGGTTCACTATCCTCCCTTTACTGCAGAACAACGATTGTTCGTCTACCTGAAGAAAGAAAATGGGGTGTTCTACCCTCAGATTAAACGACAATTTCAGATGAAATTCAACCGACCACCCCCTTGCCTGAAAAGCTGCTTTGACATTCATCACAAGATCAAGTTTACGTTTTCTGCACACGATCATTTATTGATTTATCCTAAAAATTTGTGTTTTCCTTTCTAGCAAAGTCATCATCGGTATCCAATCAAAGCCTAATGAACCTCATTAATACACGCTAACGCCTTACTCTTGATCAGATTGGGTGACGAGATCACTAATTGAGTGCAAATATCACTGACTGAGTGCTCGGATCACATATCCGATGGATTTTAAAATGGTCATAACTCAGCCATATTTTAACCAATGAACTCGAAACTTTTGGAAAAGTATTCAATTATCAAGCCAAATGTGTGCAAAAAATTTTGAGTTCTTAACTTAAAGTGTTCTCATTTTATGAAGACAATAGTGAAAAAGAGGGAGTGTAACGCCACGCCCACTGTAGTTGGGCGTGGCTTACGAAACTTTCAGGAAATCTAAGTTTGACCCATATCTATAATCTCTGAAATTTTGGTGCAATTTGGAGACGAATTACGTGAGTTATTAAGAGGTTGCGTGTGGGTAGTCACTTATGGGCCACCCTGTACAAGTAGAGCACCTAAAATCATTTTGGGCATGTTCAGGGCATTTGGCTAAATTGGGCCTAATTTGGACCAAATATGGGCGTGGCTGCCCCGCAGGCACCGTTCGGCGGTTGGGGTCCGGGACCCCCTCAAAAGTTTGGTCACCTGTCCTAGTTTGTTGGTCAACTGCTATCTCGAAACCAAGTTTCACAAAAAAATCAGGGTGAACCCCCCTTAAGTTTTTCAAAATTGTCCCACACTCAAACGACGATTTAGCCCGGCCAAAAAGTTGCTAAGTTGTAATAAGTGGTATAAAATTTCCCAACATTGTTAATGCTCTGTTTTTCATAAAATCAACAAATTTGACTATTACCTTTTTAGGGTTTAGGGTCATGAATGGGGATATGGTCAAAAGCGAGGTATGTGCAATTCGAGATAACACATAAATTGTTTTGAATCTGTGTAAATTCAATTTCAGGTTAATGACAGCCTAATTACAATTTCAAATTGCTAATAAAAATTGTTCACACTAACTTACTTCCCTGACTAAACGTTTTTTCCCCAAAGCAACAAGTGGTTCAACATCAGGACGACAGTTTTATAGTGAAGGTTAGAGGGTTACCGTACTCGGCTACAGCGCACGATGTTGCTCTCTTCTTCTCTGGGTGCGATATAAAGGGGGGCAAGGCGGAGGGTGTCCACTTCCTCTTCAATCCCCAATCTGGTTAGATATTCCGTCATTACATATTATGGCAATCTGGTTAAACATTTCGCTATTGTATAATATGGCAATCTGGTTATACTTTCCTGCTTCCGTCATTGTATATGGCAATCTGGTTAGATAGTTCGTTCAAATCTATGCTATGCTTGGGCTTTTAGCCTACATAATCATTTATAAGTGATCGGCTTTGTCTCTCATTGACGTAAGTTTCTGCAATTTGTGAAGTTCTTGGTTAAAAGCTAGTTGATTTCATTAAAAACCTTCCCCAGGGAAGCCTACTGGTGAGTGCTTTGTTGAGTTTATCTCAGCGCCGGACATGCGCAAAGCGCTGCTGCAGCACCACCGTTACCTGGGACGAAGGTACTTGGAGGTAGAGAGGTGCAGTAGGGAGACTATGGAACAAACCCTGAAAACGCATGGTGAGAGTGTAAGACAGAGTCATCCCATCGTCCGACTCAGAGGTTTGTTAATTTTATAATATAATTATACCTGATATTTTATGTGATATAAGAAATTTCGAGTTTATCGTTGAAACTTTAGACATCTGCACTATCATCAACTGAGTTTATAATAGTCCAAGTTGAGACAGATTGTTAGCAAAAGATGTAATCATCTTTTCGCTACATGCAGCTACATGGTCACTTAATAATCACTGATTATATCATGGTTTATGTTGTATTGACTAGTTTTTTATTGAGTAAGCACAGTTTCAGAGTGAAATTGTGAAATCGTTGAAATCGAATTTTAGAACAATAAACCCCAAAAAAATCAGACGAAAAAAGTAGTTGAAAGTCTTCCAGACACCTTGATATCCCCGCAATTGCATCACGAGTGAACCTAAAAACGATAAAACAGTGTCAGTCAAAACTCCAAAACTATTTGTGGGAAATTTTGTATCAAAATGTTATGAAGTCACTAATGTAAAGAATGCTCAAGAACCTTAATTGGATTTTAGTTGCCTATTTATTATCTTTAGTGGCAGTCTATAATAATTATTTATTTGATTATTATGATTATGCCATGTTAGTGCATCAAGACTGTTGAAGCTATCATAATTGGAGGGCTCGCTATGCAGGTTAAACTAACTCTGACTGCGTAACCTTTATAAATGTATTAGAGTTAGAGTTGTAATATAGTTTAATTTCAGGTTTACCATTCCGTACAACTGATAACGAGATTGAGAAGTTATTCAGCGGATTGAGTATCAGCAAGCTTGTTATTGTCAAGGACCCCAGAGGTAACTAATTAAAATTGTTCATGTTATTTGTCAAATTTCAGTAGAAATTGTACTTAATTTACATACAGAGTAAAGGTAAACAGTGTCTATTCATTCGAAATCGTATTATTATTTGCATTCCGTTCGTTCCAAGTAATATTAAAGTTTGAATGGCAGAGTTAGTGGCTGCCATGTGCAAACACTACATGTGCTTTGTACACACCACGGTGAGGGAAAAGTAACCCTATTTCCGATTACATTTTATGTGTACTGTAGCTGCCCCTGCTGATCAACCAGCATTCTGCAATCTTGGTTTTATAATATGGGGTCATGGAGTGAGAGTTAACAATGTGTGCAACAAATTTTAAAAATCCAATTTTATTATGTGGCCCCACCCGTCTGAGAGAAATAACCTTGCGTTTCGTAAAGAAAAGTAGATTTAATTCTTGACAACTGTACAGTAAATTAACGTGTTTATTTCGTGTAGGTCAAGCAGCTGGAGACGGATACGTACAGTTTGACAAGGAGTGTGACATGAAGGACGCTCTGAACAGACACATGGAGAAGATTGGACACAGGTTTGTGTAACTCAGTTTCCTTGTTAAATCACGTACACCGACTAAAGATGCAGTTTGTGTAACTTCCGTTCAGGGTCCAGACCCAACACCAACTTAATTCAGTTAAATGAGAGGAAATGTTTCTAGATATATTCTACCGTTATTACAAGCGCATGATAACTGGCATTATTGTGAAGTTTTGTATGCTACCAAATAAAATGATTCTTTCAATCTTTCCTATATCACCTTGATTTATAATGTAATTTAAATATATATAATTTATGTAAATGTGAATTTGGTCCCAACACTGCCACTAATAATACACTGTACCTTACGTGAATTATATCTACTAGAACTGTGATGATGTAAATAATGACAAAAGAGACACTGTGCCGTGCTAAATAAATAATATTTACAAAGTAACAAGTTTATTGTGTCGGAGAATTGTTAAACTGTTGTGTACCGACTCCGGCGCGGTGCACAATGAAATCACAATATCATATTTATGTGCCTACCTTATTTTCAACAACGAAACCGCAGTTGTTGTTAAGTGTAGTGCACAGTGTAAAATAATTAAATGGTGTGCAGGAGAATCACCAAGATAAGCTAACGAGGACCCATTCATATTATGTGCTAATATATAGTTACTCTACAGTTACTTTTGTAACTATTTCACCATGATATCACACCACTAACACTAGTAGTAGTAGTGGTTACACCCACCAGTCACAACTAATTCTAGTCACCACTACTATTTGTAATGTTACAAGGCGTGTGTACTTCCAATTGAGAGACCGACAATAATTGTTTACTATCACTGACCCCACAGATCACTCAATGTGAGGACTATTCTATCTCAATGGGTTCTAATTTCACAGACATTAGTAGATAGTTTGTACTTATCCCTGTAACATGGAACACGTGTACTATAATTATAGGTGTGTCGTTATTGACTACTATCATTTAAATAGTCCCCTAACTCCGTGTCCCCCCTCCAGGTATATCGAAGTGTTCCAGGCGTACAACGTGACAGATTTAGATGACATGCCCAAGTCCCGGCCCATGAAGCCCCTCAAACCCTGGTCCTACCACCCTGACCAGGCTGGTTATAATGTGTATGATAACGAGTGGGCATCGCCTCCCCCTCACCGCATCCCTCCCAGACCTTACCACTGTCTCAGAATGCGAGGTTAGTGCGAGGGCTGTAGGGTGTAGAACGAATATAAACTGGATAACCTGAATATTGCTTTATTATGGTCGTGGTCTTGACCATTATGTAATGGCATAATGGATATTTTTCACCAAAGTCCATGGCCAAAACTTAAGAAAAGCTGGTCAAGGTCCATTATTTCATTAAAATTAATGTTTAGAATTCGATGTCTGTTACGTGTTGATCCCTGAGAATAATTAATTGTCGTCTAAAAGATTGAAATTATGCGGATATCCATGAACTCAATGACCACTATGACCACGGCACCCTGAAAGTTTACCCCCGTATTTTCACAATTGTGTAGTGCGTACTTCCTTGGGATAGATAATGCTGAGTGTGAGCTTAATGTTAGGCTATGTAGATCGTGCTATATGGGAACCAGTGACGTTGGTTAGTGTGGGTCATTCTACCAGGTATTAAGTCAGAACTCTTCAGAATGTTTTCAAATTTAGGCAGATTGCTTTAATTTTGGGTATTGCCTTGGCAAGTTGGCAGTTTTAGCTTCTGGGCTAGCCACTCGTTTTGTGTCATAGATTTGAGATATGCACAGTTGTCCAGATTTAGGATATTTGAGCCATGAATGAAAGAATAAATACAACTTTAAAACCCTAAAAGCCTACTACTGCTTAAATAAGATGTAATTGGCAGCTGTATTTTCCATTACTTTTGTAAATCTAGCGTCAGCTGTTATGATTGAAGGTCGTAATAAACAGATCTAAACATGTAGCACGCCAAAGTTGCATGATACTTGATAGTTTCGACCAAACTATCGGCCAGACGTTATATTCCGAAGAGCACGCAATCTGCTGATCTGCTCTTGTACTGGTAAATCACTGTGCCCTATTCTAAACCAGGCTTGTCTGCTTAGAATAGGGCACAGTGATTTTAGAATAGGGCACAGTGATTTTAGATTAGGGCACAGTGATTTTAGAATAGGGCACAGTGATTTTGTACTGGTCTCAATGCTCGTGTTTTGTCCATAAATATATTTTACTGTGTGTGACTGGTGAGCAACCTCACCATCATTACAAATCTCATTAGTTGCTTTTTCAAAAACAATAAGCTTCATTACATAATGTTAAATTCTTACAAAAAGAATAAGTTGATGAATAACATGATCATTGTCTGTAAAGTCAAGACGTATCTATAGATCTACGTATTTAGACGTATTTATAACTTTATTCTCATTAAAACTGTATCACCACATGTTGGTCTATCAATAACAATATCTTAAACGTGTATCACCAGATGTTTGTGTATTAATAACAATATCTTAAAATCAGGTCTCCCGTTTGAGGCAACGGAGCAGGATATCGCAGATTTCTTCGACCCCATTATGCCAGTACACATCCAGCTCGTCTTTACAAGACAAGGACGACCCTCTGGTGAAGCTGAGGTAAAAAACTTTTATTTTATAATTTTCTTAAAGTTACTTTTCTTATTCTAAACTATTTTCTTGTCTTTCGTGGGCCTGAGGTAGGCACCCTTTTCTTTAGTCTCGGCTAATGGATTATTCATCAGGTGACATTTGGCAACTACAACGACTTGACGAATGCTTTGCTCAAAGACAAAGAGTATTTGGGTTAGTTTCCGTGGTTACAGACCTTTGAGTTTACTGGTGCGAGACTTTCTAGGCTGTTTAGTGTACCACTTACTAACTAACCATTTCGCGTGTTTTGGTGATAAGGTAACTGTAAAAAATGTTTAATCCTAGAAAATCTCAATCTCCAGGACAGAGATATGTTGAGCTGTTTAACGAGAGTGCTGGTAATGCGAGTAACAACAATCCTGGTTATCCACCCAATCCTTATCCCGGTCCTGGTCGCTTCCAAAGTGAGTACTGAGTGACCGTTTAGGTTTAATGGTTTCGCGATTGAATGCGCGCGGTACGGTGGTGCTGAAAAAGTTGGCTTTATAAAATATTGGCTGTATTGTCATAGAAAATAACAAATTGACAGTAGTATGTCATGCTTCGTGCGCGCGGCGCTGGCCAAATAGTGAGCCGCGTGAGGTCGGTAGCCTTAGGGGCTTTCGGCATGGTGAGCATGCGACAAATGAGTTCATATTCACCGTTACACTTGTCAAAAGAACCAGGTCTATTGCGAGAAAGGACTCTGGAAGTTTACTCTCTAAAACTCTCACATATAATTTGGACGTGGTCGGTGACTCGGTTGAGGAGGATTTTAAAAACTATTGCTGCATAGGCCAGAGTTCTATTTCGATCATTATAAATTCAAAGATATATAAACGGTTTTGCCCAAATCTTGCAGCAACCGAAAAGATTGACCTATTATTACTTCAGATCAGCCCCCACGAAGCAACAGGATTCCCAACAGACGGTACTATGAACGCTAGATACTCTTGACAACGTTCGGCAAAGATCCTCAACAATTGATATCTTTTGCCTTTAACCTTAGAACTTTGTGTTCTATTGTTGTCATGGTTACTGCTTGCTTTTGTCATGGTTACTGTCCCGCAGACTCATCGTCTCGTACTCTTTAATTTTTATTAAGCTTTATTTTTGTACCTTTTCCAAAAAGATGATTTGAAACTAGACGGTATCCGTAGTTATACACGTGACCGTTCTGTCGGAGCCTCACATCCCAAATTTCCTCAGAAATTACCTACTTCAAATTCTTTGAATGATTTCGGATTCTTGAATAGCCCTGATCAGAAAATTCAAATTAGCATTAATAGCTAGTTGATTTAGGAACCCTTTCAGTTATTTATTCCATTACAAAATCCGAAGCTTGAAATTCTGCGACCAGTTTCAACGTTTGTTGATAAAATGTCACAACCTTTTCTCCGACGCCAGAACGGTGGTCTATTTATTGTTTTACAACTCAGTGACAGGTACTTAATGAAAATGGGAGGACAGAAAGTGTTATTGATCTAGATATATGTGCTATGCTGGTGCTTCTTAGGAGACTGTGAAACAGTTTGTAATTGGAAAAGAAATTAGAACTGTGACACGGAGTAATTTATTTCGTTTTTATTGGAACATATTTAACCTGTCACTGCTTTGTTTATAGTATTTGTTGTACAGATATTTTGACGAGAAGCCCTAGTCCAAAGTAAGTGTTTTAACAGCTTTTTCAAACGTATTTATGTGTTAACCTCTGCAAGAAGAAATCGGTTCAATACATCTCGATTTAAAAAATCTCGACCTATTTGAAAGAAACATATTACCGCCGTATCTATTTTCCAAATATATAATGCTAATCCGGCATATTGCCTCATCACGATGAGTTCACTATTTATTGATACGTTATATCAGAGTCTAGAGGGCCGGACCGATAGGCTGGCTGACAGGCGACAGAGGGACAAGGAGATAACGCCAGGTCCGGCTCTGCTTGGCTCTGTGAGAATGTGTGAGCCACTGTGTTTATGTAATATGAATTTCCGTTACATTTTTACAATATTCGAGTTTACCTTATTTTCTTATGGGCATTTTTGGGGACTGGTGGTGAAAAATTCAAACTCAGAATTGTGGTCCTGTAAGTAAAATAAGAGCACTGCCAATATATCATGTGACATATACAGAACCATACTCACTGCAGCAGATATGGCGAGAGGTACAGTTTATATACCTTACTATTAATGCTAGTCCTGACAGAGATGTTAGTGTCATCAATAGAATTTCCCACGGCTCAATGATTGATTGAAATTTATCTGACAGGATGGCGTGAGGTGGCCAAGTCCTGAGAACGTGCCTGGCTGGCGTGGGTTTCCGTAGTAACGTGCCATCATGGCGTTCGTTTCCATGAGAGTACCCTGCATGGAGTAAGTTAGCATTACTAAATTGGCTTGAATTATTGAACACGTGAGCAAAAGGATCACCTTTAATTGCGGCTGGTTCGTAAATGGAGTAAATAGTAGGTAAATACCCAAATTAAAAGAGTCAATAAAGCCCTGTAAATGTATCATACCCTTGATGACTTGATGCAAGCTTACTGAAATTAGATTGGTGAAATAAGGGGCTGGACTGAATATCCATTGGCTAGCACTCGCTAAAAACCCCCAAAAGCCTGGATCTCTGTGGCATGATGTTATATTTAAGTGCTTTAGAACTTAAGTCTGTTGTTAAGTGCTTAGTAAAACTCCTTAACAAATTAGGCCAATAGAATTATCTCCAAATAAAGCGGACCAGCTCACGACTAAATAGCATTAATAATCGGTGGCTCGATCCTCGAGGAACTTAGCTTTTGACCGTTATTGTGCAGTCACGTGCCCACCCCGGCCCACCACATCCATCAATAGGAAAATATTCTGTCGTAATAAATTTTGAGCGAGTTTAAGTGAATATTTTTGACAAAGACTTCACGCCAGCCTGTCCACGTGGTCAGACTGAGTAGTTACCTTAGTAGCAGTTCTCTGGCGTGATTGGGTTGTACTTGCCACGTGCACGGTTAGAGGAGTGTTATTGACAATTGATATTTGGTCGTCATTCCATCGAGGATTTCCATTTCAGTTATTAATGTGTCAATAGCACTTACTGAAGACTGAGCTAAAGTCATAGCTTCACTTTTCTTGTCAATAACTCGGGAAATCCGCCATGCGTATTTCTCATTTTGACATTAAGCTGCTTTTGTTCCGACATTTTCCGGCTAGATCATAGATTGGGCCTGGTCTCTATCTTTTAAGATGTGCCGTATTATTACTATGATGTATTGTTGCTTCATGCTTGATATCGTTTTATGAGTCTAGGCGATATAATTATATTTTAACAGATCTCAATTAGGAATAGGCGTAAGACTAAGTGACAAATAATATTTAAGTATTTTTAGATATTGTTTGATGTCCATTATCGGTTGTAAGTTTTGCAGCCCTAAACAGGTATGAGGTAAGGCCCTTAGTTTTAATGAAACCGTTAGACCTGCAAATAAAAAAGGTCGGCTGATGAGGCCAAAAAATGTATGAACTAGTAGTCAGTAGTACTACTACTATGTACTAGTAGTAGTAGTGACCTGTGTAACTTTGAACTTGGGATCGTTTTTGATCGGGTTAGTTAAAACTGATAGTGATATAAAGTTTACAATGTATGGTTTTTTTCATGATCGTGCTGTGAAGATCTGAATTTTATTTATATCATTGCAGATACTGAATGGTCAAGGGTTGGTTTGTAGTGAAAATAAAAATTTCGCAAATTCCTGCACAATTTTAGAATGAGGAAACATGAAACAGTCGAAGCCGTGGAAATCCAAAAAAGCCGATATCTTTGTCCGATAAATTTGGGCCGATAAGATGATATATGATTATGATGACATTGCGCCAACTTTGGGGCATGCCGGTCGTGTTACATAATATACCGATACGCGTAGCCTAAATTACCAATGTTATCCTTAGTCACCCATCTCTGATCCCATAATTTAATATTAATAACGAAGCACTACTGGAGGCTAAACTCTAAAAGTTAGAATTGCCCAATGAATTCCAGTTTGGCATCTTATCTGGTATGACCATCCAATCACATTGGCATTATCTGTATTACAGGTAGTTTATATGTATTATATATATTTCAAGTTAAGCCTCCAAGTTAAATATAATAAAGGTTGGGGGGGGGGGGGGGGGGGGGGGGCCAACCATATTAAAGTATATTAAAGTATATCCCCGGGTCAAAATCGGAAAAAATCCTACATTTTAATATACTTTAATATACCTACAATTAGAAGATTTATATTCTTCGTTAAGATTTACATGATGAACTATATTTTTCACTCAGATTCGCAAGATAAGCCTGTTTTAGGACTAGTACATGAATTTCCATCCAGATTGGTCAAAAATTGGCGGAGCTATGAGCTTTAAAAAATATGCCCATATTTGGGCATAGGCTTTTGCCCAAATTCGCTTTTGCCCAAATTCGATAAAATTTCAATATTTTTTAATGAGACTAACTCTATGTGAAAGATATAACTCAGTGTTTGTTGAATATAGTGGATACTAAGTAAAAATACCTCCATGAACAAAATTGGGAAAATTGCACATAATATCTCTGTTCAGAATACTAGCCAAAATGACTTCATTAAAATTGAAATAACTCCATCAGTTTTCAATATTTTTTCAAGAACTTTTTGGAATCGATTAAGAATTGCATTTCAAGCTTATTTTGGGTAACAATTTTCGATGTAGGCCTCCAAGGATAGGGATATATTAAAGTATATTGTAGGTATATTAAAGTATATTAAAGTATATCCCCGGGTCAAAATCGGGAAAAATCCTACATTTTAATATACTTTAATATGGTTGGCCCCCCCCCCCCCCCCCCCCAAGGTTACTAGAAAACCCTTTTGAGTTTTGTAGCTGTCACAGCTGCAGGGAGGGAACATATGTTGTATGTGACTCGAATTTAAGTCGTTTAACTTTAAATTTAAAATTGAAAATGAGTCAAGGATTAACTTTAAGTGACCGACAGTTTTTCGACAGATCTTCTTATAAATTATATATTCTTTCGCTCTGAATAAAAAACTCCACCTCTCTTGATGCTCGTTACCCGACCTGCCATTTCTCATTATTCGCAGAATCTGTTATTCACTTTCTGCGAATATCCAATATTCGTTGTTGTTTATGTATAACGATGTCGCAAAACTCGCAACTTTATAGCCTTGAAACTGAAGGCCACGATTGCATTGAGAGGACAATACCGTATCGGACATAATTGTCACGGACAAGTTTTTGATCACAGACCAAATTTTTCACGGACATAATTATTCACGCTCATGACCGCCCAAAAATTCCAAGAAACTGTGAAAATTTTTGGTGATTTTTAAATATAACTATAAGTGTTTTACTCTTTTTTGAGCTCTAGAATGTGACTGAGGAGTGATTTAGATTATATTTGTCCTAGTATACTAATTGTATCACGTGGTGACCCCCACGGTCGCTTCACTGTAGCGTCTTCGACGCTACAGGGGGAGCCGCGCACTTCGTGCGCGGCGGGTCATACAACGTATGACAATATACTAATAAGCTTATATAGTAATCGGCTACACACATATCTACGCATATGTAATGTAGGGACACACACTCTAAAATTAATGGAAATAATTACCGGACTTTATTATTCACGGACCTAGCTTGATGCCACAGACAATATTTTCACGGACATAATTAATAACAATGTCTGGAGAAGACAACTTAAATGCAATTTGCTCGGTTTGTAGTTTGGCGGCATATCAGCATATAGATTTAGTTGTATCACGTCGTAACCCCCCGGCCCCATTGTCATTTCACGTAGTAAAAAGTATCGGGGCGAATAAAGTCACGATACACAATACAGCCGCGCATGACTCGTGCGCGGCGGACCTACGGCTACATTACTGGGCTGCGCTCAGCCTGTCATGTGTCATTCCGCCTAATCTCTGTTTACCAACATTAAAGCCTGGGGTCCTCAGGTAACGGCTACAATGTACAACGTGAGGCAAGGATTTAGGGGTCGTTCACAATCACATATTACGTAATCACTTTTTGGCAAATTTTAAACCAAATCGATATATTGTTTTTAAGTTTATCCAATCCTTTTAGTTTTAGCTTTTTTTGTTTATGATTTTCCTGGTCCGTTTTACTTATAGCAATACTAATATGTAATATGGCACGGCCATATTTTGACTAATGACTATGAGTATGTACTTGCGACGCGACGAGGGCCCCGTCAATTCTAATATGTCGCTACTGGATGATGATTAATCACTCTACACTCGAATGTCACGTGACTTTTTCGGTCGTTGATTACGTAATCCAAATTTTCTTTTTTACCCTCTAGAATAATAACAATTTGACAATATAATATTTTAATTCAAATTTCATTCAATTTCACTCTGATAGTGATATAAAAATTTAGAAATTGATCGAATATCCGGCTATAATAGTAACTGTAAGTAGTTTAGAAGGTGCTCGGCCGGATATCATAACAATGATTTCGGCTCATCATGATCGATAGCATGATCAGGGTAGCATGAAACGTAGAGAAAAGTGTTTTCTAGGAAAAGTCAAGGGGGGGGGGGGGGGGGTCAGGCCATGATGACGTAATATTGCTGTCAGGAGGGGGGGGGGGTTGGGTCTTGATTACGGTTGATTACGGAAGGGGGGAGGGGGGTTAAAATTGCTAAAATATTGATTGCGTAATATGTGAACGACCCCTAACTTGTAGGTTTATAACCTACCATTACCAAGACGCGCGCCGAGTTGGACTCTTCGATCGACGGTCTTAATATTTGAAACAAATATTTTACGAGTTATATCACCCGTTAATTTGTCACGCTCAGCTTGAGCTAGGACGTGATTATTTGGACGTGTCTGACGTCTGTCTGGTTTGACCACACTGACACATGTTTAATCAAGGTTGTTAAATACGTCAAATTTTCGTGAAATAATACGACGTATTCGGTTCTAATAGGGGGTGCACGATAAAAATAAACTTGCT